GAAAGAGTATCGTGGAGCGTTCACTAGCTGGCCTCTCAGTTATGCAGGCTTTTCATTTCCCTCTTCTCCTGATCTAGATGGCCACCATCTCACCCCTCATTCCCTTCCTGCCTGGCATTGGTATATCAATCAGGTCCTCCCAGTCCCTATGACAGACATTTTTTGAAGGTAAAAATATAAGATCATTTTTAGTCACTCTAAAGTGCCAAAAACACCATTCACTGAATTCTCAGCTAAAAAGCAAAAACCCAACAGCCATTTGAGCAGCAAGAAAGAATCCACCAAGGAAGGGGGTGGGAGCTCCAACTAATAATCCTCCATCCTAAGTCCCATCCCACGAAGTCATGCACCTCTGCATACACCTACGGAGGTGCAATCAGGTATAGGAATATCCTCCCAACTCCCATAACCCGGCCTCCCCGCCCTCCCTAACCCCCGCAGGTCACCTTCTATAGGGGACAGGAGGAGCTGGGGAATGGGGCTGCCGGCTCCCTGTCGAGGTGAAGTCTGGAGTTCTTCGGCATCAGCTGGGCTGACTTCTTTCACCTTCAGCGTGGGTCCCGAGGCCACCTCTGCTGCTGTGGCTGCCTCCATGCCGGGCCACCCGAGGCTGGGCTCCAGTGGCAGATTTTCACTGTTAGTGGTGAGGGAGGGGCTGAACACCTGCTCTCCAGCCTCTCCAGGGGTCCCTGCCACAGAGTTATGTAATTGGGCTGGCTTTGCCCCACCCAGCTACTCCCAGCAAAAGGGCTGAAGCAGGGGCTAGGGGAAGAGAGGGGGATCAGGCAGCAGCCGAGAATAGCCACAGGAGGAGGCTGAGATGGCTGTTATCTTGGGAGCGAGATGACACCCCTCACACAGCACCAGGGAGGGAGGAGAGAGCTTGCGCTTCAAACAGCTCCCCGCTCTCTACCACGCAGACCATCCAAATGGGGCCTCTGGCTTCTGTCAGGAGGATTGGGTGACATCTCGACTTCTGACCTCCAGATCATCCGACAGTGTGTTCAGGTCCAGAGAAGGGGTTCCCGGGATTAGCTGATTGACAGGCATACCTTTAACTGCTCTCTGTTCCCACATTCAATGAGTTGTCTTGTCAACTCGACCTTTCTGGGGTGCGTCCCCATTCTCTTTCACCTCCCCCTAGTGGTAGTGGAAGGTAGAGTGTGTGCTCTGGAGACAGACGACCAGGGCTCACTTTGGCTGTACCACCAACTAGCTGTGTGACTTGCAAACACATTAGTCTCTTTGGTCTGTTTCCTCACCTAAAAAATGGATATAATAATAACCATAGAGTTGCTGCAAGGATTAAAAGAGGTAATCTGTGTAAAGTGTTTAGCAGAGTGCAACTAACTGCGTGCTTGATAAATAAGCTATTTTTAGGTCAGGTCAGCACTTGCCCCTTTGAAAGCTCCCTTGCCTATGAGATAAAGTACAGATAGAGTAAGAGGCGGCAGTTGTGGAGGGAAGAGAGCCAGGGGCATAGGGTCAGAGGACTTGAGTGTGACTTTTGGCTATACTGCTTACTCATTAGGTGACCCTGAGCAAATCACGGCCTCTGGTGATTTGGTCTATGGTCTATGAAACAAGGGATAATGATGCCATGATTGTGTTGAGGATAAAGTCACAAAAATACAGAAAAGTGGCCAACCCACTGTAGGTGTTACATATTAAAGGTCCTATGATTTCCAGGCTTACCCCAAACTATCATTCTACACTTGCTGTACCCTCCATCCAAATTATCTGGTTTCCCATCACCCCCTTATCTCCAGAAGCCAGCATCCCCTTGTGTGTGTGTATGTGTATATATTTCTATATAGACTGAGAGCAGTTTTAGGTTCATAGCAAAGTAGAGCGGAAAGTACTTAGTTCCCATATACCACCCTCCACTATGCCTTTATTTTTTTATGGACAAAAGTGAGGTGAGCATGGTTGAATGAATAGACTCTTTACTCATTTTCCCCCTTTTAGCCCTCAGTTTGAGGGCAGAGTCAGTAGGATCCCAGAAGCCTGTGTTACCGTCTTAGGCTGTGGGACAGAAGCCCAGAACTCCTCTTTGCAATTCGTATAGGCGCTCAGGGCCAGGATAACCTGTAGACACACTTTGGATCCAGGAGCTAGGATGGCCAAACAAACAGGGTGACTGTGGAGCTCAACCTCTGGAGCTGGTTGGTAAGAGGCTGCACTTGTGCATATAAGGGCTAATGTGAAGGCCTCTCTCACTGATTTCTCTTGCCTGACCTAGCCAAGGCCCTTGTATGTACAGACAATCCCCACACCAGGGGACTCCACACTCCCCCTTACACCCCACTTAACTCGTGCTTTGATGAGACTGGCCCAAGTTTTTTTGGTTTTAGCCCTTGGTTGCAATGAAGGTGTGAAATGCATACTCCTAGGGTCTGTCCATTAAAACAGTCTAATTGACAGGTTTGGGTGGGATCCAGGAATCTGCATTTCATAAAGCAACCTAGTGATTCTGCTGCAGGAAGTCTGAGAATACTATGTTAGAGAAATCCCTGAAAATAAAAACACCTTAGATCTACTGGGGGAGGAACTCTTCCACCAGATAGTGGGTTCCTCAAGAGCCAGGTCTTTTCAGACTGAGGTGAGAATAAGTACTCCATGGATACATCACCCCAGGATGGCAGGCTGAGGAGCCAGCTCAACCTTGGCTCCTAAAGGAAATATTTTAGAAGTGAGGAAGCCTGCAACTCTTTGAAGGTCTTTAAATGAAATGGATCAGGAAGGGCTGAGTAAGAGCAGCAAGAGAAATATCTTGACACCAAAGTTCCACTTCAGTGTTGTCATTTGTCAAACCTGCTATAAGGAACACATAATTCGGGAGAGTAATTATATGTTGCTGTGTCCGGAGGAAAAGTAATTGAAACCTGAGAAGGTGTGTGGGGTGGATTAGACTTGCTGGGGGTAAAACAAGAAAGCTGGTCTTACAAATACCCACGGGAAGTAGACGTTTATGAGCATAAAGAGGAAAAAAAAAAGTGAGTAGTTTCCTCCATAAGTTATCTTATGCCTTTCATACTACAAATGCACAGCCCTGGCATTTAACTGGCTTATTTGCTGGTTTGGTCTGATTGCTGAAGCTAGAAAACTGGAAAAGCTATCATTATTAACAAATTGTAGCTTAGTCGTTTCAATAGGTCAGGTAACAAAGTCTCAGTCTGTTTTATTTCTAACCCAAATATTGCAAATATACAGAAAATTACCAGTACAAAGTTAAACACATCCAGATTTATTTACACAATGCTAAAGAAATTTGAGTTTTATTTCCATATTGTGGAATTTTATTATGGGGTCTGGCTTTGTTGTATAAATGACATGGGTCATTGAGACTTGACTATATCCCACTTCGCATGCAATTTTCTGTCCCAAGAGAACAGAAAACTGGGCTTTTTAGCGCACATGCAGTAATGATCTTAATACTGCTTTACACTTTAGTAGGAAGGCAGTTGTCCCCCAGCTTGGGGAGGAGGCAGGGAAGATATAGAACAAGGAGGGACAACATGCTCAGAAAGGGGACAAGAGACAAGAGAGGGTTGAACAACAGGCACATGGGGACCCTGAGCATTTCTGTGCACGAGGATAAAGAGGGTATGACCAAAACCCTCCTCCCTAGACATCCAAACACACGAGGTGGGCAGAATCATCAGGGAACATTCAAGTCACCTGACCACAAGCTGAGGGCATGCACAGGATGAGAACTGCATTAAAGATTTGGGACATATCAATAAATCATTAACATGTACACTATACAGTTTATACATGTATATATGTACATATATATAAAGGTACAGATTAGTTTGTTATTCTCTATTAGCTTAAGAACGTACTGGTGTGAAAAACTGCATACAGCAAGGTGTTGAAGACAATTTCATATTAATGTTCTGAGTCTTACTGTTATAACCAAGAAATCGACATGCTCCTGCTATTTCAGTTTTCCTCCGTGAGGACCAGGCCTGGGCTCTGCTAGGGCAAGACGGTGCTGCCAGAGCTGTTTGAGCTGCGCAACTGGTGGCAGATGGAACAGAAAGTCTGGTACCTGCTGAGTGCCAGTGCTGAAAGTCTGGCCCTCCCTATCACTCCATCATGGAACGAATCCTAAACTTTGGTTTTGTTCAAAAGACACTTAAGTCCACGCTTATTTTCCTGCTTGAGGGAAGGTAGTGGCCAAACTGAGAAGCTGAATCTCTTCCTATTTTTAGCAGTTTCAAGCATCCAGGCTTCGCATGGGATGAGGGGGCTGTACTGATAATGAGCAGGGTGAGCTATAAGCCATTACAGATAGGGGCAGGGCTCTTTAGAGCTCCCCTAAAAGGAAAGAATCTCTCTACCTAGATGATTTGCCTGGAAAATAAAGAAATGACTGAAGCCAGGCCAGCCCTGCCACCTGGCTGGGTGTGGACAACCCTGAACTCTGATCTGTATCCTGGTGTGACAAAGGCCATGGGAAAACCAACAGGAGCTGGAAGTGACTGGCACATTACCAGTCAGAGATGAAAGGCCAGCTTGGGCATGTAGAGGCCGAGGCAGATGTAAGAATGAGAGACACACACTGGAATGCCTTTTCAGAAGCAGATGGCAAATTCTCAGTTTCAGTTAATCTACTGAATCTCCTGAGCTCAGCCTAGAACTGCCACACCCTCTAAACATTTTATTCTTCTAAGTGGCGTTCCCATTCAGTTAACAGCCTAGCTGTATACATCCCTAGTCTCTGGTCTAAGAACCAGAAGCTCCCTCAGGTCCAAGACACCTATCCACAGAG